TGAAATTTTAGTATTGTTAGATTTATAGAACTTTTTCCTTCTTCTTTTTTGTATTTTTTACTTTCCTCATAGTATTTCTATTTTTAATTTTTCAAATTTCCTTTCAGAAAAAATTTCCAAGACAAAATCCATGACTATAATTATCCTTAAAGAAGAGACACCATTAAAATCACAACCCAACATAAAAATTACCTACAAACATGATGGGTTCATTGATTGGTACACTTAGCTTGTTGGTTAGGAAATAATGGCCTTCCCACTAGGATATATGGGATTCAAATCTTAACTAATCCACCCAATGATAAAAGCACACAAAAAAGAACCAAGGAAAGAACAATAAAACATGGTTAGTTTGTATTTAATATCTAAAATTAATTTAAGGTGAATTACTTTATTAGTAACATAGGGCTCAAGTACATGTGTTGATTTTTTTTGGTTTTTAAAGCATACATATTGATAAAATAAAACGAATCTAATCTACCCTCGAAAGAAAGAGGAAAAAGTTTATATAAGGGTGAGGCCTTAAACAATTAAATTAAGGAGCAACTCAAAAATTCACTAGAAGAAATTGTTTCGATGCTTCAATTTGATCATATCGACCTCAAGATGTATGGACATGAAAAAAAATTGATTTCAAATCTTGAAAATAGTGAATCTTGTAATGTATTATCTAGACCTTCAATTTTAAGATTTTCAAGTGTTCATAGATCTCCTCGATCTACACTACTTTTGAATATTTAAATTTCATAATTAGAGATTTAAAATAAATTTCTAGGTGATCATAAAAAATTTTGATACTAAAACAACATATTTAAGTACTATTTGGAGGGGACCTTATGTTTAGAGCATCAGCCTTTATACAAACCACACCCAAAGAAAAAAAAAGATCAATTCACTATGATATGAATTTCGATGCTACAATGTCATTTCACTTTCAAAAAATGGTATCAAAAAATGTTTTACCTTGAAGAACTTTCCAAATGCATTGATATACTACTGTCACGAGTAAATTGTTGTTTTTAATACCCATGAGAGATGAACAATTTAACATTTTACCCATATCTTTTAGTGTTCATTCAAAATATATGCTCATAGAAAAACATATGGTGTTGAGTTGGAAATTTGCAAACGGGCAAAATATTAAGTACTTTATCTCTAATAGATATTTTGATAAACTTCCTTTAAAAAATAGATTTTTGAATTCTTACACACTTGGATCATGCCTTCTAAAACTTAGATGATTCTATGTTATTTTCTTTAGGCACATAGATAATTGAATTTTTTTTCTTTTCTTGTTTGAAATTGATCGCTTGGTTCAAGAAGTTGTGGTCCTAATACCTAGCTTGAGTTTTAATCAAGAGAGCAAACGAACAATTTGCTATGTGGGAGTAGGAAACCATTGCTCATTGATAACCATAGAATACTTAGAACTTTGCTCTATGTTAGTTGGCAATGTTGTTAATGCCATGCATTACGACCTTTTAATCTTTCCTTTTCATTTAGTTGGTTGCAAGGGAGATTGACCGTTATTTGGTCTTTATTGACAACAGTAGCGAGGTGACAACAATGTTGTATATTTATTGTACATTTGATATAAAAATAGTTAACACGATATTATGACATTGTCACTTATTTACTATAGTTCGTCTACGGAAAGTATCAAAATAATCCTTGGTGCGGGGAATTCAATTAACCGATATTCAGAAGATGAAATTTTACCTCTCCTATCAATAGGTTTAGCCAGAGCATTTATAACACGACCTAAATAAGCCTCACTCACTGGTATCTGAGCAATTCTTCATGTTGGTTTTACATAACTGCTTTCTTGTATTATTAAACCATCACCAATTAATACAACACCAATATTATTAGATTCCAAATTTGGAGCAATACTCTCTTCAAATTCTACTAATTCACCTGCCATTATTTCATCAAGACCATGAATACGAGCAATTCTGCCGCCCACTTGAAGTACAGTGTCAGTATTGACACTCTTTACTTCTCTATTATATTGATAAATCCGTTCACGGATAATATTACTAATTTCGTCAGCTCGAATGGTTACTATTAGTGTCTCTTAATTCTTTTCGGAAGCAAAACAAAGAAAAAATACATGAAAGTAGATGTACATGCATCGATCCCCAACCATAACAAGTTAAAAGTGCATTAAGGCCCACAAAAAGGTTTCCATTTATAATAACTATTCACATTTAGTGGAGGATGCCGCCTGTTCGGTGATTGTAACACGCCAATACATAGTTATCATGTTGTGGTTTTCAATTCTACTAATACCAATTATTGACACATTGGCCTGTCTTCGACATTAAATTACCCAAAAAAAAAAAATTCATATAGGACACAATATATTTTCCCCCTATTTACGTATATGTTTTGTGTTATGGTTTTGAGTTAAAAAGGGATGGGAGGTAGCAAAGTGGACAAGGGAAATTAAGAGAGATATATACATAGAGAGAGATATTGATGACCCTTGTTGAGAGACCAGCTGTTGGCTTGTCTATGCTATCCAATGTACCATGGAAGTCCGTGTCGAAAATTGGGACCAAAATGAAGAGGCTCTCTTTGGTCAAAGATCATCCACATTCTAGAGAGAGAGAGAGGCCCAACAAGACAAATAGTTCAAAAGTGGAAAGAGAGATGGCATCAGAGTGAAGGACGATAATGTACTCGTACTGTATACATGTGTTTTTAGAGAGAGAGAGAGAGGAGTTTGAGCAGATACCGTAAGACAAGGATGGGAGAAAAAAGAGAGAATGGGGAGAATTAATATAAGGACAGAGAATTTTGTAGAAGAGAGACAACTTAGAAAATATAGAGAGTAGAGAGAGAGTGGAATATTGAAATCCAATGAGGAATATTTTGAAAGTTTTGACAAAGGGAAGACAAAAATTGAGACACCCATTTCTTTAGAGAGAGAGAGAGAAGAATTATGGGCCAGATACCCATTTCAAAGATATAGAAGAAGCGAGATTTAGAGAGAGAAACACATGAATTATGGGCGTTATGGGTGAAGTGTTTAGGGGAGCATTGGGAAAAGGAATGGTAATAAAGGCTAAGGTCGGGGGTTGGGAGGACTCAACCGTGGAAACAAATCTCCCTTCGGATTGGAAAGCTTCAGACCCTCAAAAATAAAATGCCCAAAAAAGATCGATAGGATCTTAGCTAAGCCAAAAAATGCGTATATAAAAAGAACAAGGATAAAAAGACCAAGCCAACTAAGAAATAGTATGGTCCCACGAGAGCACCTCTTAAATTCACTCCCTCGTGTAAAACCCTGCTCATGTCTGTTTTCTGGACCCCAAATTCCCAAAGATCAAACTACCAAACAGCCTCATAAAGGGAAGGTGGAAAATATCGCTCGGCTTGTTTGTTCCGACGCTCAGATTAAGCGTTTAGAAACTCAAAATCCAATTTGTTTTTATAAAATTACTCATTTTAATGTGAATTCTAGAATTTTATCGTCAAAATAGTCTTTTTTTTCCAACTATTTGGGGTTGGATAAATGAATTCCAAATTTTGAGAGCAAAAATATCCTCCGGTCTTTTAACCTAGGGTGTATGCTTACAGTTTGATCCTATGGGATCACAATATAAGGGCTAAAATAAATCTAGATAAAGGGTTATTCAAAACCTCTGAGGATTCCTTTTTTATACTGGTAAAAAGTTCCTATAATCACGGCGATGTGGAATTCAATCGATCTTTCTTTCTCTCTCTCTCTAGATAAAGAATGGAGGGAGCTTTTATCGGAAATCACATATTTTAGAGAGAGAGAGAGAAAGGAGGGGAAAGGGGGTCCAAAGAATCGTGGAAATATAAAATAAGGGGGGATTGTTCAGTTCCAAAGACGTTGTTAGAGAGAGAATTATTAAAGATGGTCTTTGTGTCTTGAGTGGGAAGGAAGGGACCAACTCCAATTAGTCCCAATGTAGAGAGAGAAAGAGGTGTTAGAGAGAGAGAGAAATGAGGGTTTGTGTGGCACCACTCATCCTCATTACAAACAATGAATGCTTGGGGGTTTCCAAAAAATAATTGATTTAAGTTGTGTGTTGTGCACTTGATCTCGTCTAGGAGCACACACTAGGGCGTGCATATGCACTCATAGAGAGAGAATGAGATTTTTAGAGAGAGAGAGAGAGAGAGTTTCTCTTAAGATACATGGGAAAACACACACCATTGGGATTTTCACATATGGACCACAAATATGGAGAGAGAGAGAGAAAGAGCACAACTACTTCATAATACATGAAAGCACAGACACTGAGGGTTATGCTTATTTGACATTTGTTTATGCTCTTCATTTCTAGAGAGAGAGAGGGCATAATCCTGCAAGAGAGAGAGAGAGAAAATTAGAGGGGAGAAAGAGAAGCAAGTGACTTAGTGAATGGAGTGGAGTGGAGTGGGGGCGTGGCGTGGCCGCTAGACAGCACGCCTGGCGCCTGCACGTACTGCTGCATCGAGGGGGAGCGTGTCAAATGAAAATTCTATGCATCTTCTCTCTCTAAAACACCTCAGCTTGTCCAATAAAAATACCACCCCCTGTTTCTCTCTCTACAATCCCACGTCAAATTAAATAAAAAAAATGCAGTGTTTCTCTCTCTACAACAACCGTGTCGGACCCTTAGCCCTGACCAGGGTACAGCACGATAGGGAGCAACAAAAACATATGTTTAATAGGCTTGGATCAGGTGAAGCCCCTCTGTCTTTCTCTCTCTAAAAGTCATAAACACAATAAACAAGAGCTCCTCTCTCTCTCTCTCTCTAT